TATATTTGTGGTTTTGTGCCACCGAGGCCTTCACCTGCATTTATATTTACAAAATCAAGGCAAACATTTCCAGAAAATAGTGCTTACCTGGATTCAAATTAACGTTTCAATAAAGCAATGCCGTTTCATAAAGTTGTCAAACCCAATATGGCATTTTTTATTAGATGTTCTCCTGGATTAATCGCACGAGTTTCAGCCGAACGCGCTGTGACAGGTCAGATTGCCACTCTTGCATGTTGACAGTCCATCGCCGGGAGGAAAATTAAAACTCATCACATTAAATATCCTGTTTCATTAACACCTATACGCATTCTGAAATAGGTTAATAAATAAATAAAGCCACATTTTTTTATTTTTCTTTCCCAATCACCACAAACATGTCACGCCTTCATGTAGGAAGATGAATGGTTTGATGCCCAAAACTAACAAGGTCTCGGCGTTAAGAAGCCAGCGCGCCGAGATTACTCAGAAAAAAATAAAATAAAATTAAAGAGGTGGCCAAAAGCCTCCTAAAGTATTGAAATTGCATCTCTGGCTGTCGCCTTCAATCTGTCATCTAATCAGTCCTTCTGCCTCTTCCACCTCCTCCTCCTCCTCCTCCTCCTCCTCCTCCTCTTCCTCCCCCCTCCTCCAGACATTAGGGAGAGTGGAAGCCCCAAGCCGGTGATGGTTTTCATCCACGGGGGCTCCTACATGGAAGGAACTGGGAATATGTTTGATGGCAGCATCCTGGCCAGCTATGGAAATGTGATTGTCATAACTGTCAACTACCGGCTGGGCGTCCTAGGTAAGGATCCTGCTGACTGTCTGACACACTGCTCACATGTTACTCTGATGCTGTTGTTGTTCCCTCTCTTCTTCTTCTTACTATTATTATTCGCTGCCTTTCTTGGTGGTTCCATTAGCTTAGCATCAAAGCTAATGCTTCTTTCTTTCTTTCTTTTTTTCTTTCTTTCTTTCTTTCTTTCTTTCTTTCTTTCTTTCTTTCTTTCTGCTGGTTGCAACACCTGAGTGCTGACACTACAACATCCTAGATTGTTTTTTCCTTCTCTGAGACACTGTGTGCTGCTGTTGGTCATTTCCCAGAAAGTGTAGCTGACTGTTGAAGCTAAAGATCCAAAGACAAATATCAGTCTTAAGTCAGTTTCTTTGCATCTTTTCTCTCGCTACAAGTCAAATACTTTGATTTAGAAGAAAACTTTTTGGTTTTGTTGTTTCCTATCTTCTTCTCTTTTTAAATATTGGTTCTAGAAAACCAGACAGTTGGTTCCTCAGTTGACGTCTGAGCTCCTCACTTGGAGTAACTGGTCTAAGTATCTGTGGCTGATATCTTCTCTCAGTTCTTTGCTTGTCATGATATTTCCAAATCCTGAGTTTAGGGATTCTTTGAGGAGACCTATTTGCTAAACATGGCAGGTCAAAGGCATAAACAGTGTGTGACAGTTCACTCTGATGTTCCTGATGCTAAACGTCTACATCATGACATGAAACATTAATATCTCAACTTTCTTTGTGATGTTCTTCATTTCATTTTGTTGGATACCAATATGGATGGACAGCATGTGAACATGAAGGCGATTCAGCATCATGGTGTGTGTTTATGTGCTGCTGTGCTGGTTGCAGGACTGAATCGTGTTGGTTGCTGTCATACATCCACCTCTCTGCATTCTGTCTTATGTTCAGTGGCCTTTAATTCATCAAGGCAGTGTCTTCTCAGATATCCGGTTCCTTCTGTTTCCATCCTCGTCTCAGTTTTCTGCCTCCTCTTATCGTATCTCCGCTCATCAGACTAATTCCTAATTCCATTCGCCTGCATATGGATGTCACTGCCATACCCAGAAGGCAGGTATATATTGCAGCACATGATGGAAACAAAGGTTCACTGCTTCCATCCGATGCCTGTGCTAAATGAGATTATGCTGTCATTTGTTTGAATAGAAGAAACCGATTTCATTTCCATGTTGTTTTGGTTCCTGGGGTTTGCACCCCCTCTGATTAAACTATACCAGAATAAAGACGGAGGGCAATATCCGCCTTTCACTCAACGACAACACAGTCTGACTGTGCACACGTGTGCATTCATATGTTTTTGCTTGTGCGTTTGAGGAATAAGCATAAATGCTTATGGGTGGTTCTGTGAGCAGAAACAGAACATGAATCACATATTAATGTTGTCTGCAGGTGGTCTGCTTTGCCTCTGTGTTCTCTCAAATATTCATACTCGGATCCCTTTTACAAGACTTATATTTATTTGTTTGAATTGCAAATAGTGAAGACCAGCGAGCAGCCTGTTGCTCCCTCACATGGAATCTGATGAAACACGATTATTGAATTTCCTGACAGCTCGAGATCAGGTGATAAAAACTTAAACGGGGTAGAATTTTCCCAGCCGTAGACGCCAGCTGAGAGATTGCGGTTCATGTGTCTCAGAGATTTTTACAGTCAGTCATTCAGCAACTGGATGGACAACCCCCTCAGCAACCTTCAAGCGGTGCCAAAACCACAAAGTCGATATTAAAGAAAGCACTCCATCATCTGCACTTACCAATCATGTATGCCTTTTTAATACCCACTTATTCCATTTCAATGTCATGAGCGGGCTGGAGGCTATCTTAGTGTGCAGGATTAGCGTGTGCACGGAGTACACATGCTCTGCACACACTGATGCACACGCTGATGCACACACTGATGCACACACTGATGCACACACTGATGCACACACTGNTGCACACACTGATGCACACACTGATGCACACACTGATGCACACAGCTCCGGGCATTTCTCTGGTCCACCGTCCAAAACCTGCATGTGTTCCATACTGAGATCCAGATCCTGGAACTGCCTGTTGTGAAGCAACAGTGCAAAGCTCTCCTCGGTTAATACTCAATTTACACATGGCCTTTCCTTTATTCAAATGATCACAGTAGTCGGTGGTTAAGCAGCTGAAGCTTGCATCTACAGTCAAATAACCTGGAGGGGCGTCAAGCTGATTTGTTGTTTGACCGGAAATAAATCCCCTGAAAAAAGAAATTTGATATTAACTTATTCTTGTGATGAAGCTGTTTTCCTGGGTATTGCCATAAATGCAGTGCTGTTGGGTTTACAGCCTTCTGATGCATCCATTGACTGAATGATCAAACATCTAAGTGGTAGCCTCACAGCCTGATAAACAGTCATGACTGGTTTGGTGGAAAACCCTGGAACATACTGAAGTGTTGGTGAATGGAGGTTCACCAAATCTGTCCTCTGATCGTACGTTGAATTTATCAGGAGAAAAGCAAAAAGAGCAGCACAAAGCAAACCAGGCTCATTTTCTGACTGTAAATTGTTGGAACGTGGTGAGATCCCCAGTTTGTTGAACTGGTTATTTCTCCCTCTCTCCCTCCCTCGCTCTTCTCTCTGATGTGCAGGCCCTGAACTGCTGCAGGCCTCGTAGTGTTGAGGGAAACTGTATCCCTGCTGGTTAACATGAGGCACTGCTGTTTGCTCTCAGATTAGACTCTACGTGTTTGTGTTTACCCCCCTGGCAATGGACAGAAGCATACGACTTTACCTTACCAAACATGTGATGGAGTGTGTGTGTGTGTGTGTGTGTGTGTGTGTGTGTGAGTGACAGCGAGAGAGTAGGTGTAGGACTTATAACCACTGGGCTTTCCAGTCACTCATCCAGTTTTTAGTAAGTACATACTGTGAGATGAGTAAGTGGCTCCACTGCTAAAAATACCACCTTAACAAGCCGTTAGTGGGTGGGTGCAAATTCTATGTAGACAATAGTACCAGCACTTTTATTCTGTAATGTTATTTTGGTTCCTGCACCATGCAACAACAAAAAAAAATCCAACCATACTTGGTGAATGACGTGATCCAGAAGCACCTTTAATTTTTACCCATTTAGGTCTTCATAACGCACACCTTCATGACGGTTCATAAAGACCAGGGAGCGCTCATCACATGAAACAGAGTAAACAGCGTTTGTCCGCTGAGATGCGAGGCTGCTATGGCTTCCCCCAGCACACACACACACAGACATCTGAAGCTCAGACTGTTGCCAAGCACACATTTAACTCAAATAATGGCTGCCTTGTGCACCGTAATGCACGGCTCCACACAGTTTGTCCTCGGAACAAAAGGCCCTCCTCTGAAAACCGTCTACAGGTTGGTCTCTTGGCCTCGTGGTGTGGTCGGTCTTAGGATGGCGTCCCCAGGTCCCAGCACGCCACTGCATTAAAGTGGGAGAGACTGATTAGCCAATGCACCGCGGGTACGCCAATCAAGCCGCCCTGGCACCGGTACTAACCCGCCCCACTTCCTCCCCTGAAGCTGAGAGAAACCAAACCACTGCCACGTCCACCTATTATTATTATTATTATTATTATTATTATTATTATTATTATTATTATTATTATTATTATTATTAGCTGCATGAATAAACCAAGAAATGAGGTTTAATACCTGATGATGTAACATTTATGTGCACTCTTATATCGTTAACTTCATCCTCGTTAATGTTTTGAGAGGAATTTGATTTTGAATTTTGATTTTCTACCCAAAAGATACGGCTGTGACGTAGTCAGAAAGGCTTCAAGTTTGAAAAAGCCACATCTTATGGAGGTATAAGGAGACCAGAAAACCACAGTATGTGTGCAGAACGGTTATTATTACGTTTCATTTTCATTAGCTGTTTGTTTGTGGACCTTTTTATTTAGGTCTAGTCACTGAAACTACATGGTTACTACATTAGTTATAGTTGTGAAACTACCGTCACAACGATAACTACTATACTATGCTATACTAATCTATACTATACTATACTATACTATAATAGAATAGAATATAATATAATATATTGTGTCATATGTGAGACAGAGTGCCAGTGAAGGAATCAAATAAATGTCAAAGATATGTTGATTAGAAACACATCATGTCACCAACACATGTAATCTGTAAATCAGAAGCTATGTTTTCCTGACAACACCACTGAAAATGCCGTTGAGTTATATTGGACAGTAATTTTTGGGAACAGGACTGTGCCTCGATGACCCATCATTACTTCAGCTATTAGTACCTTACCTAACCCCACATCGCATTCTGTACTGGACCCAAGAGCAGTTGGCTGGACACACTTGAGTTTAATAACAGCTTTCAGACTTTGGGTCTGGAAACAACTCTCCCATTAGCTCATCTGCCAGTTTCCTAAAATCCTGGGGTTTAAAACTAGGGCTGGCAATGCATTACAGAAGGAGCGTTAAAGTCGGTCCTAATCACAAGGCGCTGCAGCGCTATACGAGCTGTTGCACGTTTCAAACAGAGATTGTTAAACCAGAAAGCAGGACAGAATTTATCAACACCTTCTGCTGTTATCAACTTTCAAATGCCTCTCAGCCTCATAATTAGGTCCTCGAGCTGCAGGTTTGCTTCCGTCGTTGAGGACGTGTCGCTGACCTCAGCCAAGCAGCCATTGCAGCACCTGTTCACATGCTGACAGAACTCCATCCTCTCACACCAGCGATTTCTCTCCTTGGCTTAGTGGGCCTGTGTGCGAGAGTGAGCACTTTGCAGGAAGCCATTAGTGGCTTTAAATATGTAGAGCTGCTGACGCGAAGCTGTATTTATTGGTTAAGGGCCTTGGCTACAATGGATTTGGCCATGGGGCACGTATATAGTATGCTACTGTCAAGTGTGTGTAGAGGGGGCTCGTGTGTGTTTAATGAATGAAGAGTTTCTCCCGTGAGCAGATTAAGTGTTAATGAAACACATGGTATAGTGCTGTCAAAGTGTCATTATTA